AAAAAAAAAAAGTTTTTTTAAAAAAGGAGAGAGACGTTTACAAATACAGCCACTAAGCGTTCTGCTGTACAATTTCTATTTTACACAATAACAGATGATAGAGTGTTGCGTGGTGTTCCAGGGAACGGATATTCTGTTGAATTTTTGGTTGGTTTGTTGCAATGATAAACATGAGTTATATCTTAAAAAAAAAATTAGCTCATTTTACCACCATTCATTCCAAAGACCGTATGGTAAATTATATAATAATACATAAAACATATTTAATTTACTATTTTCTTCAGTATACTAAATGAAAAGTTTGTATAAATAAAAGGTTATAAATAATTGGAATATGACTTTTTTTCCCCCCTTTCTAGTGTTTGCCTTCAAAATTTCAGATACCTAGGAAAACGCAATATAGTAAGGTAATGATTTTAAATTCTAATAGGTTAATCTGGTTTTTTAAAAGATTATGACACATATCAATATATCAGGTTCAAAAATAAATATATGTTATAAATCTTAAAATGCAAATAAGGATTGTTAGGTTGACTTCACATTAGGCAAAGAACTTTGAAGATGGTCCCATACCCGTAGTAGAGCTAGGAATAAAGTTGTCTAGGGAGAAAAGCACAAACACACACATTTTTAAAAGGAAACACATTTCATGTATCTTCAGAGCTAATTTATCTATTGTTACATAGTTATAACTTGGAAGATATCTAGTTAAGAAAAGACATCTAGTAAACTAAAAAATAAAAAGTAATCTGAAATAACTTTGCGCTGTCATCATCTTCTCATGAAAGACAACAAAGTTCACAGCACCTTCACTCACCCCCACTCTCCCATTTCCAAAAGAAAATGGGATTTTATGTTTTACTGATTCATAGCATGTGAAATATTTCATTCTTCACTAACTACTTTGTCAGTTGCCATTCTCTTTTCATATGTAAGTTACAAATGCTAAGCTGTAATTAAAACTTAGTTTTCCTTGCAGAAAAATTGCTGCTGCATTTAAATTTGTGCAGTCCACCCAGAACAATGGAACTCTCAAAGGATCCAATCCTTCCTGCCAGGCATCAGGTCTCTTGTCACAATGGTAATGTCACATTTGCTGGGTATTTAACATTGTATATGTGTGTATATATGTGTATATGTGTGTATGTCAGCATGGAGGTTGGATAAACACATACTC